GATAAAAAGTCGAAATTAATATCAGGAAAAAGAACAAGTGTTCGCATGCATTGAATAAAATTTAAAAAATTGCTTGTAAATCAAGTGCCTGGAGACATGTGTAAAATTAATGTTTGCGACGTGAAAGGTAGCCGAAAAAAGAATAAATAGGTATTAAATAATTAGCCAGCGGTAGCCAGACTCATTACTTAGATATGTATGAAAAATGTGAGCGTTCAGTAAATTACACAAAAAAAATGTAGTATTTTTATTTTCTACCGAAACGTACGCGAGATTCATTTAGAACTTCTTTTTGCACACTTGCTTCCAGGACTTTATTTACAGTGCATACACTTAACTGTCACGTAACGTTCCTTCTTTCTTTATGAACACAAAACTTTTCCTTCGATTCTCTATTTGTGGATTTTCTTTTCATTATTCTTTTTTCTTTTCTCTTAACTTTGGAGTGTGAGGGAAAATATATTGGCGCCTTTTTTTACAGATTAATAATCGTATTTATACTTAACGCTTGCGCACCTTGCGCAAGGGCAAGCGTTGGAGTGGGGGCAACGAGAGCGAGAGAGAACAACCGAAACTTCTCTCTCGCTCTCATTATCGCTTCCGCGCTTGCGCTAACTGTAGGATTGGAGTGGGGGCAACGTGAGCGAGAGAGAACGACCGCAACTTCTCTCTCACTCTCATTATTCCCGAGTCCTTCTTTTTCTACATTACAAACATTTTTAATTTAAAAAAAAATCTATCTACCAAATTTTTTCTCTTTTATTCCACTTTCTAAAAATATAAAATAAAAATCAACAGATTTTCGTTTGTAAATAAATAATAGATGGTCTAGTAAAGCAGACGCAACATTTACAGTATCAAAACAAATGAATATCTTCTTTCTCAGTGACATTTATGGTCGCGGAACAATGCGACCGGCGTGTAACTTAATTAAGGCAACGACGCAGACCCAAACCACGGCACTGCGGCCAACGTTACTATATCTGTTTCACAATATTATCTAGTCTGCTCTTCGTAACCACAGAGAGAATACAGTATGGAATTGTATTTGTTGCTTAACTAAAAACCTCCCAAACACCCACTGAATATATTCTCATATTCAGAGAGCTGAAAAAAAATCTATAATTTTTTATCTATCAAGTTAATTCGTTCTTGATTAACGAATTGTTGGGCTGAAATAAAGATTGAAGAAGAAAATAAATAAGATTAAATACTAAAATAATAAAATTAAAATAAAAAAGTACTCAAATAAAAAATATTAAAGTACATAAATATTTTTTTTTATTTTAATATTTCTCTCTTGAGTGAAAAGAAATGGCAGAAGAAAAGGTCATTCGTGAATGAAATGCCATTGACGTTTCGTCACAGTAAGAAAAAAAAAGTCGATATAAGGGTATCGCTTCTTTCATAGACCGAATAAGGCTCGACCGAAAGGTTATACAGAATCGTTTCTAGACTATCTTAATGGCTGAAAAAGATCGTTTCGATACTATGGCCAAATCGTAAAGGCTATTGCTCTTCCCTTATTCTCTGCTTTTCCATCGAGCAAACCCTTCTCGCTATATATACTGAGAAAGTGGGATTAGCGCCACTCGAATCACCCCGCATCTATATAGAGTATAGTTTTTCACGCACCCCATTTATCCCCGAGGTGAATTGTCCCACGTACTCTATTCCCGATCGATTGCCATTTCTTTATAATTAATTACCACCTTCTCCCTCCCTTTGACCCTCTTCATCGACCAATAAACACACTTCTTGGAAATTATTACCGCATCGCACACATTACCGCGTATACATATGGGCGGATCCTTCAATTCTATTATGCCTATAAAATATGACAATCTCTCTCTATATATAGCGGATGTGAGGAAATATTGTTATGTGAAATTTTCGGTTCGCTGGTCAATTGATTTTGAATTGTCATGTCGCACTTTAATCTTATCTTGTCTCTTGTTGTGTGATTCATTTTTTATGGGTTATTTATTATTATTTTTATTTTATAGAAAAATTTTGATTGCTTATAAGAGTAGGGAATTTAAATGACTTTATTTACTTTGAATTGAACTTAAACTGAAGTTAAGTATACTTAACTCAGAGCGCAGGCGCAAATGCCGCGGAGTGGGGGCAGTAAGTGTGAGAGAGAAGAATCGTAACTTCTCTCTCGCACTCACTAACCCTACTATCGCTTTTTACTCCTAGGAATAATAATACTGTTAATATAATAATATTAATAATAATAAAATTAATTTATTTTAGCACCGTACTACTTAGCACAGTACTAGTCCAGCCGTACGATATCAGACAATCAAAACTAGGAAAGAAAGACGTTAAAATTTAATTTTCTGATTCTAATAATTTTTATCACCTGATAATTACTTGAATTATTGCTAGGATATTGCTGAGCAACATCCTAAAGGATGGAAAATTTTATTTCCATTAATGCCAAAATTCGGGGGAAAAGGACGTTTAAATTAAAATTTTTTTAATTGCAGTAATTTTAATGGACTGCAATTTAACTACATGTTCCTAATTAACATCCTTAAGATAAAAAATATTATTTCATTTTATTTTAACTTTTAAGTCATAGCAGCCCAAGCCGAACATTATCAGAAGATCAAAATTTGGGGGAAAAGACGTTTAAATTCAAACTTTTTTAATTCTAGTAACTTTTAAAGACTAAAACTTATCTAAATTGTTGCTGGGATGTTGCTAAACAAAATCCTGAAGAGAAAAAAAATTGTATTCTAACTTTTAGTAGTAGGAGATAGAGCCAAACATTAGCAGAAGAACAAAATTTGTGGAAAAAGACGTTTAAATTTAAATTTTTTTAATTCTAGTGACTTTTATGAATTAAAATTTATCTAAATTGTTCTCGGAATGTTGATTAACAGAATTCTGAAAAGAAACAAATTTTATATTAACTTTTAGTCGTAGGAGCGACTGCCGAAAGTTAGGAGAAGATTAAATTAAGGGGAAAAAGACTTTTAAATTCAAATTTTTTTAATCCTTGTAACTTTTATGGACTGAAACTTATCTAAATTGTTGCTGGGATGTTGCTAAACAAAATCCTGAAGACAAAAAAATTTTATTTTAACTTTTAGTAGTAGGAGCTACTGCCGAACGTTAGCAGAAGATCAAAATTTGTGAAAAAGACGTTAAATTCAAACCTTTTTAATCCTAGTAACTTGTATGAACTAAAAGTTATCTAAATTGTTGCTGGGATGTTGCTAAACAAAAACCCGAAGAGAAAAAAAATTTATTTTAACTTTTGGTCATAGGAGCTATACTGCCGAACGTTATCAGAAGATCAAAATTTGGGGGAAAAGACGTTTAAATTCAAACTTTTTTAATTCTAGTAAATTTTAAAGACTAAAACTTATCTAAATTGTTGCTGGGATTTTGCTAAACAAAAACCCGAAGAGAAAAAAAATTTATTTTAACTTTTGGTCATAGGAGCTATACTGCCGAACGTTATCAGAAGATCAAAATTTGGGGGAAAAGACGTTTAAATTCAAACTTTTTTAATTCTAGTAAATTTTAAAGACTAAAACTTATCTAAATTGTTGCTGGGATTTTGCTAAACAAAAACCCGAAGAGAAAAAATTTTATTTTAACTATTAGTAGTAGCAGCGACTGCCGAACGTTAGCAGAAGATTAAATTTTGGGGAAAAAGACGTTAAATAAAATTTTTTTTAAACCTAGTAACTTTTATGGACTAAAATTTATGTAAATGGTTGCTGGGATTTTGCTTAACAAAATTCTGAAGAGAAACAAATTTTATTTTAACTTTTAATTCGTAGTAGCCACAGCCGAACGTTAGCAGATGATCAAAATTTGGGGAAAAGACATTAAATTCAAATCTTTTTTATCCTAGTAACTTGTATGGACTGAAACTTATCTAAATTGTTATTGGGATGTTGCTAAACAAAATCCTGAAGAGAAAAATATTTCATTTTAACTTTTAGTCGTAGGAGCTATACTGCCGAACGTTAGCAGATCAAAATTTGAGGGAAAAGACGTTGAAATTTAATTTCTGTATTTGTAGTAATTTTTGTGGGCAGCATACAAATATTATATTTCAAAATCGAAAAGTTGAAGTGAATATCAAATTACAAAATCGCACTCCGGAACGATTTTAAAATACAAAAGCATTTTGTTTTTTTTTATAATAAAGTCAAAAAACAGAATAACAGATTTGTGTCAGAGTCAAATTTTATTTTTTGTCTATATATGTGGGTTAACCTTAACACACTTTTTGAATTCTCTAAAATGTCTATTCAAGAAAAATAATACGGATCAGCTTTTATCAGTCATTGACAATTCTCAAATATTTGTACAGCTAAGGAATATGTTCGATATTGAGAGTGAAAGGCACATGCAGCTTATCTTTATGTGTCACGTTTTATCCAAATTTGAAAAGAAGAAATTCCCATATGACAGGAATAATAATATTTTTTCTTTTTGCAACTTTGTAAATTATTGTTAAATTTATAGTTTTAATTATTATAAAAAGTAGAGTATTTACAGAATAATGGTAAATTGTCCTAAAGATTTGAGACTTTATTGTCTACTTCTTAAGATTACTATGGCAATTGTTTGATTAATATATCAGAGAATAGATAATTTTCTGTCCAACAACAATGACAATATTTTTCAGTTGTATCTATATATACAAATTTTCAAAACATTTTTGATCATTTCAGTTTATCTTAACGTGAAAGTGAATTTTTTATTTTTGAGAAAAATGAAACGAAATAATTATTTTTGACTTTGTTTTCGTTAAAAGTACGTTGTCATAAGATATTATAGAAAAATAATTTAATATACATAATATTGTATTATACAATAAATAAATAAAACTAATTTAAATATAAAAATACTAAAAAATGTAATAAATAATGTGTTGTTAAACGTTAAAAATAGTTTTAATAATAGTTTTAATAGTTAACAATAATTGATAGTTTTAATAAACACTTTAATAAATTTCTGAAATTCAGCAAAAATGACCAAAATCGTCTAGAATGTGAAAATAATTTATTCGGAAGTATGCGAGTCATCTAATTTAAAAGTGTTATTGCAAAAAAAAAATCGAAATAAATCTGATCAATAAAAATGATTTATTTCTTTCTGATATTCTCATTCATTGCATTTTTTGCCGAAATTATTGCGGTAAGTGTTTCTTTTTGAATAATAAATTAAACGTTTATTTGAATCAAATGAATTTTTTTAAGTGTAATAATAAAATTAATTCATTTAATATTACAATAAAATATGATAAATAATTTAATTTTCATTCAGATAAATGTGATCGTGACAGAAAAAAATTTGACAAAAGTGACAATAACAGAACACAAAGTTGTTCCGCTGAATTATAATTTTGTCAACAATACCCTCGATAATATGGAAATTAAACTGAAAATTAATAATAATTCGCTTGTCAAGATTCGTTTAAATTCAGTTAAAGGACTATTCTTTAATAAAAGAACAAAAATTTGGAGACTTGTAAAAAATTCTGTTAATACTGATAAAATGCACTACGTTTTGGAAAAGAATGTACGTACAGAAATTTTATTAATTCGTTTATGCAGTATTTTTATTTTATTTATTTTTATTTATTTTTATCTATTAAGGAGAGTATTTTTTGCAAAACTCACATATTTTTTTAGATTATGGATCAATTAAATATTAAATTTTACCATGACACGAAAACTTTATCATCGGTTATAAGTATTAGGGATAAAAATGAAAAAGAAATGTTTGTAAGTATAATGTTTAGTTGAATATTAAAAAATGTATTCTTAACGCAAATACTGAGAAAGTATTTAATTTAGAAGAAACGGAACATAAGTACAAGAGTGGGGGTAACGAGAGTGAGAGAGAAACTTCCGACTTTCCTTCTCACTCTCATTGTCCCAACGCATGCGCTTTGCTTCTGCTTTAAAAATTACTTCAAATAGAAAACATAACGCTTGATTAAAGTAATAATTGTAGGAATTAATAACAATATATTATATTTATTTAATTTATTTAATATATTATAAATTAAGATATAAATTTATTTAACATAAATAATTAACTATGATTATAATTAATTATTTATTTGATAATTACAGTAATCGTTATAGAAATAAAAAACTAATTCTACAATTATTGTAATTAAAAACTAATAGATTAATTTTCATGTTCCAAATTATGGTCTTCTTTTAAGCAAGGTATCATTGATTCCGACAAAATTTTACAACCATTATCAAATCTTGTAAAATATCAAAAGGATACTTTATTATTTAATTATGAAACGAATAATTCTACAAATGACAATCAGCATATTGTTTATAAATTAAATTTATATAAATCTTTAGGTAAGCAATTAATTTTCTTGAACCGAATTTTTTCTATAATAAATATGAGTGAGAAGAACTAGAAATTTTTAATTTCAGGTAAAAATATTACTGAAAATCAGAGGACAAAAAGTAATTTAATCGATGTGAAAAATAAAAATATTAAACAAGGAATGAGAAAATCAAAATTAGGTTTCCCAGATATTGTTTATCCGGAAATTTTGATTATTTTAGATAAACAACTTTTTTCGTGAGTGTATTTATTTTTTTTTTTGTATTCTAAAAAAAGAAATATGTTCTTTATTGATTTGTAATATTTTTGTACAGTATTTTTGAATATAATGTCGAAAAGACATTGTATTATGTTTTATCTTACTGGAATGCAGTCGATTTACTATTTAGGAGAATGGATTATCCTAAAGTTCGTTTAAATATTGGTGGAATTATTATAGCGGAGGTATTTTATTTGAACAATAAATTAAAAATTCGTGAAATAAATATAATTCACTAATAATGAAATGAATAAATAAATGAAATGAATAAACTAATGAAAAATTAAATATTCACTGAAAATATTAGAAGAAAAATATGATTCAATTTATAAAAATGAAAAGAATTTTATTTTATATTTAATTTATATTATTCTATTTTTATTTATTATTAATTCACTATTATTCTTTTTTTTAAGGCAAAATTACCGTTCATAGATAACAAATTTCTTGCTGACAAAACATTGAATGATTTTTCGCACTTTTTATTCAATCAGGATGAGATTAAATTTCGAAAAGATTATGATGCTGCAATGTTAATGACTGGAAGTATAATTAAAAATCCAAATAACAATAAAATAAAAGGTTAAAAAAATCTATAATTTAAGTATTTATTGTAATCTAATTATATTCTAGAGTTTCAATAGTATTTTTTTTTGTTTTTTAGTATTTTTTTGGTACTTGAATTTTACTAATAGTTTCTTTATTATCCACAGGAAAAGCATATGTTGGAGTCGCATGCTGGGAAAATGTTTTAAGAAAACAGATTTTTGCCACTAGTATCGTCACGCACAAGAAACTTTACAATTCAATTATATCTACAGTTCACGAATTAGCTCATTTGTATGGAAAAGTTATTTAGTTTACAGACTTCGCACTCGATAATTAATTTTTAAAAAAGTAGCAGAAAGTAGCTTTTAAACTAACAAAAAAAAAAAAAAAAAATTAGTAAAAAAGTAGCTATCGAAAAATTAAACTTGACGACCAAAAAAACTCGTTTTAAACACTTCACAAAACTGACAAAAATTCCATTTTATTTTTCTGACTTTTTCCTAATTTTCATCAAAAATATTTACTTCTTTCTTATCCTGCTAATAAATTAAATTCCTGCAACGAATTTTATTGTTCATGAAAGAATTTAAATATTTATAAAAATAATTTAATTCTTGCGAAGAATTTTATAAAAATTTTTAAATCATTGATTTCTTTCGACTAATTTTATGCAAATTATAATTTAACTCACTGAATTCCTGAGACATTTTTATTATTCATAAGAATTTAATTCTTACGAAGATATTTTTACAAAAAATTTTTTAAATAATTGAACTCTACTGTTTGGAAATTTTATGAAAATAGTAGATTAATAGCGAAAAGTTTTTAAAAATAATTCAATTTTACAAAGAATTGTAATAAAATTTTTACCAATAATTGAATGTCTGTGTGGTATTTTATTTAAATTTTTTGAAAATAATTGAATTCCTAAAAAGCATTTTTTTAATTTATGAAAATAATTAATTTCTTGCTAACGATTTTATTAAATTTTTTAAAAATAATTGAATTTTCAAGAAGAAATTTATTACTTTTAAAAATAATTTAATTCTTGCGATGAATATTGTTCTTTATGAAAAAAATTGAATTTTGCAAAGAATTTTATTAAAATGTCTCAAAATAAATGAATTTTCAGAAATAATTTTGTTATTTATCGACATAATTGAATTCGTAGAATGATTATTCATGTAAATAATTGAATTATTGTGAAGAAATTTTATTAAAATCTAAAAGCATAATAATTGAATTATTTCAAAACAATTTAATTAAAATTTTAAATATAATTTATTTCTTTCGAACAATTTTATTAAAATATTTGAACATAATTGAATTCCTGTGAAAAATTCTAATATTTTTGTAAATAATTAAATTTTTCCAAAGAATTTAAAAAAACATTTTTTGAGGAATTGAAATTAAATTTTTTAAAATAATTTCATTTTTTAAGCAAATTCCTGTAAAATTGTAATAATAATAATTGTAATCCTGCGATGAATTTTACTATTTATAAAAATAATTGAATAGTTGCTACGAATTATATTAGAATTTTCAAAAATAGTTGAATTCCTGAGAAGAATTTTATTATTTACGAAAATAATTGAATTATTGCGAAAAATTTTATTTAAATGTTTAAAAAGAATTGAATTTCTGTGAAAAATTTTATTATTTTTGAAAATAATTGAATTCTTCATAAGAATTTTATAAACATTGTTTTAAATAATTAATTTTTTTTTTGAAATATAATGAATATTATGAAAATTTTATTTTTAATAATTGAAGTCTTGTGGAAAACTTTATTTTTGAAAATAATTGAATTTAAAAAATTTTGAATTTAAAATTGTATTAAATATAATTGAAATTCTTCGATGAGTTTTATTATTTATGAAAATAATTGAATTTTAGATGAATTTAATAAATTTTTTCTTAAATAATTGAATTCTTTTGCGAAATTTTATGAAAATTGAATTTTGAATGTTTTTTGAATATAATTGAATCGTTTTAAAGAATTTGATTATCATTTTTGAGAATAGTAGTAAATAGTAGGTTTTAGTAAATGAGTGCGAAGCCTGACTGTTTATTTTAGTTTGAATAAGTTTAACTGTTTAATTTATTCATAGAAAATTATTAAATTATTTGAATTTGTATGAAACTTACAGATTTGGAGTTCCTCATGATGGATTTGCAACGGAATTATATTTGGGTGGGCCAGGTGGTAAAGAATGCTTTTTCGAGGAAGGTTTTATTATGAGCCACAAAAGACACAATAAAAATCAATTTCAATTTTCTAAATGTAGTATGAAGTCTATGTCGTTTTTCTTTAGGTATTTATTTTTAAATTCACTGATGATAAAATATTCGCATTTCATTAATACTAACAAAATATAATCATTTTTAGTCGAAAGAATGCAGAGTGCCTTCGTAACAAACCAGGAACTACAAATAAATTTACAATTTTATAATAGATTTACAAGTTCATCAGCAGATTTATTAGCAGGCAGTTGATATTTTGGTGGAAATAATAGTTTTGCATTGTCATTTTCGTTAAATGTTACTTTCACACATTTTCCTTTCCAACAGAACTGAAAATTAAAACAAATATTCTGTAAAAAAACAAAAATTCAATAACTATTATAATTGATATTTATAAATTTTTTTTACTTTTTCCAAATCACAAGCAGTACCATCAAGTGCCATTTCATCAATAAACCAGTTTGAGTCAGTGTCCTTGCACTTTATTGTGAAGCAATTGAGTGGGAAATTCTGAAATAAATAAATAAATAAATTTTTCCTTTCGAACTGCTTCTTTTTATATTTTTCTCATTATAGAAAATTGCAGTTAGTATAAAGCTTACTTTTACAGCTTCAAGATATCCCAATTTTTGACATTGCTCATCGATTGTAACATATTTACCAGGCAATATTCTTAATATTTGTTTATCACTTCTATTAACAGCTGGATTATTTAGAAGACATTTAGCCCTCTCTAGACTGAAATAATTTTTGAAAATAATTTTTTAATTTTTAACAAAGAATTCTTAGAATTCTAAGTTAAGCAGATTTATTATTTGAATTGCGAAATAGTATAGGTAAATAGTTACCTGAAAAAGTGAGACATCATTCTCTTGGTGCATGGGGAAAAAATATTTTTGTTCTCGTTATGAGTAGAAAAACCCAAAAGAAAACTGTCATTATTAGAACACGTTTCAGCCCCTGATCCATCTATAAAATCAGGCGCTGGGTCACCATCGTGAGAAGCACCAAATCTAGTAAGATGAATTTAATGATGATTCTTAATGTCTAAACAAATTTTAAACAAATTCAAAACAAGTGATTTTAAGTATTTTCAGGGTTTTTTTTGTTTTGCTTTTCCCTCACTTTAATATTTAAACAATTTATTGCAAAATTGAATTTTTCTTAAAATTGAATTCTCATAAAGAATTTCATCAACAAATTCTTCAATAATCTAATTCTTTTGACGTTTTTCAATAAAAATTTAAAAAATAATAACATATTTCGAGGAATTCGATTGAAATAAACCTTTTAGAGTAAATTATTTAAAGGAACATACTTACAAATGAGATAATTCATGCGTAGCTGTGTGAATACCGTAAAAAAAACCAGAATCATGTATCATCATCACAGATAGAACCATCTTCAAATCAGTATACTCTGTACAAGCTCCTCCTTGTCTTGTCACACCTTAAAAATATACTTCTTTAATACTATCCGTTATATTTTATTAATTTTAAAAAAAGTATTTGCTAAAATTAAATTAAAGCCTAAAAAAATTAATTAGAATAAATTTTACATTAAAAATAATCCAATAAATTAAAGACAAACCTAAAGGACCACCTGTTCCAGGACCGCCACCCATCAAAACAGCAATATCGTAATCTTTTTCCAATCGGAATTTTTCTTCTTTATACATAAATGTTTGGAACTCGTTAATTTCATTCAAGTAGTCCTCTAAAAATTTACTTTTGGATACAACCGATTCCTTTTAATGTAAAAGTAAATGTTTATTATAATTCTAACTTTAATTGTCAGAGACAATTGTTCTGTTAATTAATTTTTTAAATTGTTGTTAAAAAATAATGCATTGAAATACAAGACTATAGCATTTTAACACAAAACTATTGTATTTTAATAGAATACTATTGTATTTAAAAAAAATTCATTTATAATTAATAATACCTGACATAAAACAATTCCAGCAATGTTTAAACGAACTAAAGGTTTTTCAATGTCTCTAAAGATAAGATCAACTCCATTCCAAAATGTTAGAATATAAGCCACACTTTTTACAATATCATTATCAAATTCGCTGAAAAATTGTCACAATTGTTGCTAATTTATGTTTTTTAATGAGTTTACACTATTAATTAAAAGTAAATAAAAACTTACTGAAAAAGAGTTTTATCTACATATACTAAAATTTCTGGATATACTACATCTGGAGTACTAAATGTTAAATTTTCCATTGGCACATCAGACTTACTTGGTGCAATTTTATCTTTATTAAAAGTAGTTGCAAATCGTTTATAAATTATATGATGATTTTTGTCTTTATCTTTCTCAGATTTTTGAAATGTTTCCGACAAAATATTTGAATGACGGTTATGAATATATTTATCGATTGGAAGTATTACTTTATCAAAGTCAATAATACCCCTCTAAAAAAGAAATTTTATCTTGTTTATAATAATCCGAAATTTATATTTATTTATTTATAATAATCCGTATTCTTAGTAGTGTTTAGAAAATTTTTTTAATAAGGAGAATTTCATTCAATTTGAAAATTCAAAGTACTCACAAATTCTGAAATTCCTCTTTTATTTACTGTATGAGATATTGTGGACTTTGTTTCTTCGTCATGATAAAAAGTTACATTTGCTTTCTCTATTATCTAAAATCAATTTAAAAAAAAGAAAATTTTAAGATTAAAATTAATAAAAATGTTAATAAATTTATTAATAAATTTATTAATAAATTAAAATGAATTGAAATAAATTTAAACAAATTAAAATAAATTAGAATAAATTTAAAAAACCATTAACAAACCTATAAGTAAATGTATCACTTACATCTTTTTGTAACGTATAATCAAATTTATTTTCACGTTTCTCAGCTAACCAAACTTTTGTATCTTTACTAGCTAAATAAAATTTTGAGGACTGAAGAATAATTTCTCTGTCTGTACCATTAATTTTTATTTTGATTTTAAGTTCAGTAGTATTTTCTTTGTGAAATGAATGTTCAACAGAAGTCACTTCAAAATTAGATGCTGTAAAAAAAATAAAAAAATATTTTAAAAAATATATTAAAAAATATATTTTTAATACCACAAAACCCCAGAATAACAAATTTCAATTAAATTTGAGAAATTTAAAAAAATTAGTCCATCATTTTGTGTTCGCCATTTTTAATTTTCAGAATCTAACATCAGATTTGTAATCAGCGACCCCAATAAGCCCCGAATAACAAATTTCAATCTTATTTGGACAATTTAAAAAAATTAGTTCGCCATTTTGAATTTTTTGAATCTGACTTCAGATTCGTAATGGGTGACCTCAAAAGCCCCCTGGTAACAAATTTCAACAATATAATTTATTAATTCTCAAAAATTTGTCCGACACTTATGATCCGCCATTTTGAATGTTTGGAATTTGAATCACACACTTACTTTCATTTAGAGATGCATGTTGCAGGTCTGGAGTAACAGTGCCATTCAAATGATGTTGAATCTAAATATATTGTTTAAGATATATTTAAAAAACAGAATAAATATAATAAGACATGAACTGTTATGTGTTAGCAGCATTAAAATATAGGGAAGAGCAAAATCTACCTCGTATGTTTGTGACAATGTTGTAATGATTCCCAAAAGTATTGCGCAACTGTAAATCATTTTTTTTAATTCTAAATGACATTACACACAATTTTTTTCTTTACGAAAAAACTTTCTTCAAAACAATAAGCGTTCTACAAATTCCTATCTGAAGATACTATTTTATAATATTTACACTGAAGTAAATTATTAACTATTCTAAATAATTTTGAACATCGTTTTAATAAAAAGAATTAGACCACTGTTAATATTTTTTATTATATTTTTACTGGATGTAACAAAATATTAGTTTTTAGCTTACATTTCAACATAGAATTGTATATGTATTAGTAGATTTTATGCTTCAAGGTGATACAGCTGTTAATATTTCTACACGTGTACTATAAAATTCCTAATAAAAATTTAAATATTGTTATCTTAAAATAAAAAAGCATTATTGTTTCAGACAATTTTTGTGAAATTTTTTATTTAAAAATGTTTACATGTACCTATTTTACAATTAGAAAATTATATAATTTTATTTCAAACTTTTAAAAGTATTAAAAAATTAACGTCTTTCAAAGTATTGCGAGATCAATTAGAAAAATTGTAATGCTTGAAACAATTTAAGTTTAACTAAAAAAAAGTAAAAAATTTTATGAATTCTTGATTTTTATAATATTTTTATACTATTGTCATTAATTAAAATATAGAAAAAATTAGTTTATATCTATGGTATTAAAAGCTACGATAGAAAATTTACTAGACGTTCCCTCATGACAAATCTGAAAAACATTTTATGTTAAAATTAAAATATGCAAGAATAAACATCATATTAAATTAATCAAATTAAATTAAATATTAAAAAATTTAATTCTTACTCCATTATCTTTACATTTAAATCCATTTTGAACGACAACTATTTTATACTTTTGGAAAAATGCATAATCATTGCGAATTGATTGATAAGTGTCATCATTATCTTTATCAGGATGGTATGCCAAGTACTTGTCAAGAGTGCACGCTATGAAACATTTATTTGTAAGACGCTGAAAGAATATCATTATTTAAATTTTTGGAAAAATATTATATATGTATACCAAAGTGAATTAAATGTTTGTATACTGACCCCGAAAAAGTAACCTTCTTTCGCTCGCTCGCACTGTTCATTCATGATTTGTAATTCCTGGTCTACCAGTTTTGGAGCATCAGAGATTGTATGATTTTGAGGTGTAGTTGTTTTAATATTACTTTCTTTTGTGTAATTATCAACATTTTAATGAGTTTTTAAACAGAATAATTTACTTTAGGTATAGGTAAAAATTGTATAACGAATGTGAAAAGTAATATACAGTAGAGATTTATTGTTTATTTAAAAGTATTTTACAATAAGAAAACTATATAATTTTATGTAAAACTTAAAAGTAATTAAAAATTAGGGACTTTCTGAGTATAACGCCATAAATTAGAAAAAATTATAATGCTTGAAACAATTGTCATTAATTAATTAAAATATAGAAAGAAAAAGTTTTAATTAAAAATTTAAACTAGTTTCAGGAGTTGTTGATTCTATAAAGTTATCAATGTCATTAAAAATTGTGTTACTATCAGAACTATCGTCATTCGTAATTAAATCACGAGGCGTTGTTGTATCTAAAGAACTTTCGTTACTATCAGAAAAAGATGAAAAATCACTAGAATTCTCGAGTCCTTCAGGTGATGTAGATTCTTCAATTGTGTCATCATAATCAGTATAACTTGTATTGTTATCAGTAGTAGTATATTCGACACATTGTCCACCTAGACAATGCTAAAACAATAAACAAATCAAAAATTGTAAAAAATGACAAATGCAATTAATATAAAATATAAGATTTAAAAATTAAAATTTAGTCGTTTAAACATTTCTTACACTATTATTTCTGCATTTAAATCCATCTTGAACGACAACCGCTTCATACAATTTGGAAAATATATAATTATTAATAATTGATTCATATAAGGTATCATTATCTTTATCGGCAAGGTATACCAAGTACTTGTCAAGAGTGCACGCTATGAAACATTTATTTGGAAGACGCTGAAAGAATATCATTATTTTAAATTTTGGAAAAATAGTATATATATACCAAAGTGAATTAGACTTTCGTATACTAACCATGAGAAAGTAACCTTTTTGAGCTCGCTCGCACTGTTCATTCAAAATTTGTAATTCCTGGTCCACCAGTTTTGCAGCATCAGAGATTGTTCGATTTTGAGGTGTAGTTACATTATTAGAATCTAAAATACTTTCAGGAATTGTTGATTCTTTAAAGACATCACTGTCATTAGAAATTGTGTTATTATCAGAACTATCGTGATTCGTAATTAAATCACGAGGCGTTGTTGTATCTGAAGAACTTTCGTTACTATCAGAAAATGATGAAAAATCACTAGAATTTTCGAGTCCTTCAGGTGATGTAGATTCATCGATTGTGTCATCAACATCAGTAGAACTTTCGTAACTATCAGAAAATGATGAAAAATCACTAGAATTCTCGAGTCCTTCAGGTGATGTAGATTCTTCGAGTATGTCATCATAATCAGTAGAACTTGTATCGTTATCAGTAGTAGTATATTCGATACAATGTCTATTTAGACATTTCTAAAATAATAAACAAATAAAAAATTGTAAAGAATGACAAATGCAATTAATATAAAATAAAAGATTCAAAAATTAAAATTTAGTCGTTTAAATATTTCTTACACTATTATTTCTGCATTTAAATCCATCTTGAACGGCAACCGCTTCATACAATTTGGAAAATATATAATTATTAATAATTGATTCATATAAGGTATCATTATCTTTATCGGCAAGGTATACCATGTACTTGTCAAGAGTGCACGCTATGAAACATTTATTTGGAAGACGCTGAAAGAATATCATTATCTTAAAGTTTGGAAAAACAGTATATGCATATGTACCAAACTGAATTAGACATTCGTATACTAACCATGAGAAAGTAACCTTTTTTAGCTAGCTCGCACTGTTCATTCAAAATTTGTAATTCCTGGTCTACCAGTTTTGCAGCATCAGAGATTGTACGATTTTGAGGTGTAGTTACATTATTAGAATCTAAAATACTTTCAGAAGTTGTTGATTCTTTAAAGTCATCACTGGCATTAGAAATTGTGTTATTATCAGAACTATCGTCGTTTGTAATTGAATCACGAAGTGTTGTTGTATCTAAAGAACTCGTGACATTATTATTAACGGTTGAATTTGTGATACTATCAGAATTTGTTGCATTATCAGAAGAAAGCAAACTTGTATTATTATCATCGGTTGCATTTGTGACACTAAGAGTATTTGTTGAATCTTTCGATAAAGGCAAAATTATATTATTATTATCGGTTGAATTTGTGGCACTATCAGAATTTGTTGCATTATCAGTAGAAAGCAAAGTTGTATTATTATCATCGGTTGAATTTGTGACACTATCAGAATTTGTTGTATCATCCGAAAAAGGCAAAGTTATATTATTATTATCGGTTGAATTTGTGGCACTATCAGAATTTGTTGCATTATCAGTAGAAAGCAAAGTTGTATTATTATCATCGGTTGAATTTGTGACACTATCAGAATTTGTTGTATCATCCGAAAAAGGCAAAGTTATATTATTATTATCGGTTGAATTGAGAACATTGTAAGTATTAGTTGTATCATCTAAAATTGGTAATAGTGTACTATTATCATCAGTTGAACTTTTGACGTCATCAGAATTTGTTGTTTCGTTTAGAGCAGGCGTCACTTTATCGACGAAAGGGGGTGAATCATTAGAATTCAGAACGTTATTAGAAGTAGTTTCCAATTGGTTGCCGTTAACTAAGTTGTTAGAATAGCCCACACATTTACCATCAAAACATGACTATAATTTAAAAAATCAGAAATTAAACATTGCATTATACATTTATAACCTCTGTTAACAGTTATTCAACGTATTGAAAGAAAAATTAATTACTTACTCCATTATCAATGCATTTGAATCCATCCTTAACGGAAATTATTGTGTAGTTTTGCACAAATACACCATTTGGTCTGTACCATTCATTAAAGTAATCACTTTGTTTTTTCGGATGGTATCCCAAGTCTGCAGAGTTAGTACAGGCCAACATACATTTATCTTCAGATATCTGAAAAATAGGTCAATCTAATTTAATGCTCTACAAGTTGGTAACGATTATTTATAAAGTTATTTCTACATTTTTCAGCAAAATTTTCAAAAAAGTCTTATTTTTCAAAATTCTTTATTTTCAAAAGTTTAATATCTCCCGTCAATGAACCGATAGATTAGTTCAGTCGGATAGATGCCTCGCTTGGCGGTCGTTTAAGGACCAAGGGTATAAGTACCCTTGGTTCGCGCCCATTTGGCTTGGTATTTTTCCGGCACGTGAGACAATCTGAGCGGGAGGTTTGACGTCGAGGTATAATGATGTGCACCGTCGATTATTTTCCGGTACACACCATTAGAACTCGACTGTCGATAAACCGGTTGTACCCAGGAGAGGTTTTCTACAGTTTCCCTCTTCTCTGGCGAGAAAACCCATTGACGGGTGGTCCAGGCGTATGCGAGTACTCCTAATAAAGTCGGCTGTAGACGCAAAAATTAGGTTAATATATATAGAATTTTCATATGTAGAATGGTTATGCTTAATCCAAAAAAGTATTTCTCGGGGACTCTTGTCGAAGTGCGTAAGGCCAACAGGGCAGGAGTATAAACAATAAAAAAAAATATCTCCCGTCAATGTGGACGAAAAATGTCCAATTTGGGCTCAAAAGATGTGTCTAAAAAAACTCTACAAAATTATGGAAAACATTTGTATGTTTCCTAATAATAATGTTATGGGCAAAAAACGTTTTTTTGCAGAATTAAAAATCGAAAAAAAAATTTAGTTAAACTTTATTAATCTATCACAAAGTACTCTTACTTTATGTCCGCAGGTGAGATCTACAATTTAAAAAAAAATCAACCCAAAAGCTCTTTATGATTTCTAGTTACTTATAAAAATATGATGTTTACACACACACGCATACGGAATGACATTTTTAAAAATGTCATTTTTGAACTCCTGAGGTTAAATAACATAAAGATATGTCAAAAAATCGAACTAGAAAAATTTTGGTATTACAATACTTCCTCTATGAGGAAGTAATATTATTTAAATACATATTAAAAATACAACATATAGGACAAAAATTAAATTTTGTATACTTACACTTAAGAAATGCCGGAATCCATGTTGCTCGCACTGTTGAAACAGAATTAGTATTGCTGTATTGGTATTAAAATCATCAGATTCTAATGAAGGAGATCCTCTTTCAACTAGGGTATCAGAATCAATCTTTTCAACATCTGAAATATCATCTGAGCTAACGATACCATGAGATGAAGACGTTTCTGTGTTATCTATATTAATAGATGTTGTTTTGTCTGATGCTATGATATTATCATCATTGTTTTTAAAATTATGAGGTGTTGTTGAGTTAGAATAAATGGTTATATAATCTGAAGAAGAAATTTTGCTGGTAGAAACTCTGCTGCTATCATTAGAAGAACTTCCAACATTATTAAAAATCGTGGTATCCTGCAACGTAGGCAAAATTTTACTATTGTAATCCATTGAACTTTTAGTCTTTGATTGACAATTCATTAATATTTCTTTTTTTAATTAAATGTTCAACGGAAATCACTTTATTGTCAGATGTTTGTAACGGTTCCTGAATATCTTTATAAATCCAATTTTTATGGGTCTAAACAATTATTTTATATTTTAGGCGCAATAAACAATTAATTAAATGTAATTTATAATAGAAAAATTTACCTCTATTGAATATGAGAGTGGCGAAAAGAGAGCGTACAGCAATATATAGACGTTCTTCATTTTTAGTTCCTATATTTTTTTAAAATTCTTTGACAAAATAAAAATAAACTTCTGTTTCAATATTTATAATAATGTCAAGATAACAATTGATTAATAAATTTTAAACTTATTTTATTACCACGGATTGTGGTACTTTTTACTTCGTGTAACAATAAAATATATAAAACTTACTTCAATGTAGAAAATTTTCCTTCTGAATTTCTCAAATTTGAATACTATTATATTAAGGTTTCAATATATATATATATATATATATATATATATATATACCCGTTATATTTATTCTACATCTCTTCTATTGGAAATTTCTATGTCTAGTTAAATAAAACGAAACATTTATAGATATTACAACATTTAAGATAAACACGGCGATTCATTTGCGGTAAGGTTAATAAATGAATTTAACTAATATTATTTTCACGTATAAATCTATTTATATAGAATTATTTCTCACTTGAGTCTACAATACCTTATTTTAATAGATAAAAAAATGAAATGATTAAAGAAATTAAATTTTTAATAAAATAATATAATAATAATAATAAAACATACCAATTATTAATTTATAATTAAATTTATAGTCAATCAAAAAATTTATTTGACTTTTGTACAGTTAATTTTAGACTGCAAACAAATTTATTATAGGTTAATTCATCTTTAACGTCCGACATTTTTTATAAAACGAAAACATTCGGACAACGATTAAAATATAATTACTCCAATATTTCTAAATCTAAATAATTTTTTTTCAGCGAGTCATAAAATAATAAATAAAACATAAAACAAGAAATAAATAGCAGTCGCAATGAAATTCAACACTAAAAAATATAAGAATAATTAAAAAAATTAAGTGAATTATAAAAACATTTTACATCTTAGTAATAAAATTCTCTCTTCGAAACTCAAGACATTAGCGATTAATTATTGTAGATAACCACGTACAAAGAATATCGAGATTAGAAAAATTGTGTTTGTTATGGGTATATATAAAAATGGAAGTCATAGATAGAAAGTAATAGGAAATTATTACTATTAGCAATTTCATAATTGTCTTAAAATTAGTGATATATAATTTAAAAATTAAAAATAAAATGTTTCCTTCTATGTTCTATGTATTATCTTCTAAGAATAATTTTCCAAATAGTTAATCTGTTTATCGATTCTCATAGTTGACAAAATACAATGTAATTATCTTACTCTTCATAGAACTGCATTTATGAGACTCGACATATGAATGCACACTAACATAAAAAGATAAATAATAATATATGCGCATTATGAGTGGACTTGACTTATATAAATATGTTGCGAGACACAAGCTTACTTTTGCTGCTGGAAGTGTTTACTATCCCATGGAATAGTGCTACTCGCGATATACTATATGTGATGCAGCTGTTCACAAAGCTCCAAGAAGTGATTCAATTCTTGGGATGATCTAGGAGTCAAGCTTAGAGATAGGGTGATCTTTTGTCGAGTTCGCGTGTCGTAGCCAAGCTTGACACTTGCGATAATAGTAAACTTTTTGATTGTAAATTTTGCATATTCCAACAATACATGTTTACTTGTTGCTAAATTAAGAGCAAGTATTCATTATCGCCCGAATTGTTAGCTAGTCTTTAAATTTTACTATTTATTTCGTCATAAAGTAGTTTATTCTCAAGATACGATTTGCAAACGTAACACGTATCCTTTCGGAGAATAAAAACCAACAACTGTGACCAAGTCCCACCATTTTCAAGAGTTGTAGAATCTCACAGCGTCAAACGACTATTGGAATTCTGTAATTCCTTGTCAAAATCATAATTGTTTCTGCCCTCTGAACAGAGGTTATTGTAAATTTTTTCTTGTAAACAAAGATAATAAAAATTTGATATTAATTGTGAATTAAATTAATTTTGATGACCCAGATATTAATTGGATTGTTCTAGTTAAGGACTAGCGAAAAGATTTTTAAGAAAATTTTAACATAAAAATAAATGGTCAAGCCTTACCAACCTGACTGAAATCAGACTATCATTCCTCCGAAATATAATAAATAATAATTAAATTTTATATTAACCTCGCTTACCGCTCGAGATGTAATAACAAACATATTGCAAACTAAAAAGTCTTAACTTTTTAGTTTTAAGTTTAGTTTATTTTAAAAAAAGGAAGAAAACGGGTTTTAAGTTGAATTTAGTTTTAATTTTTATTTAAAACTGATAAAAAATGTTGTTATTATTTGTAATTATAAATAGTTTTTTATTTTGCAATGCTCTGTAAATTTTACTACTACATTCCTAAAGATAAGAAACAAACTGTACTCACTTACACCATGTTAAATAAAATATATTTGGTAATTTCAAGGTTTTATTCACTTTTATCTAATTAATTTTTATTTGAACTATTTTTTTATTTTTTTGTCAGAAAACATCTATTAGGAAAAAGTCCTATTTTATTTATTGTGGGATATACATATAACAGATTAATTGAATTTATCGAAAAAATAATTGAAATTTTTACTAAAATTTAAAAAAAAATTTGAACGTAATTGAACTTTAGCGAAGATTTTTATTTCTTTTGAAAACAATTGAATTTCTGCAATTAGTTGTAACTTCTCAAAAATTCAATTGTTTTTATCAGTTTTAACTAAAATTCTTCTGTAAATTAAAAATATAATAATGAAATAATTAAAAATAATAAATAATTAAATCTTTTTAAAGCTCATCTATTTATAAAAATTGCATACGGAACTGTTTTAAAATTCTATTAATTTAGTAAGATTTAAGGAAAATTATTCATTAAATAATTTCTAAGTCATAATTTTGTGATAGTTCTCCAAGAAGTAAGTTATTTGAAAAGAAATTATTATTAGAAATAGAAAAAGTGGAAGATTTTCTTTTTAGAATTCGTGATAATTTTATAGTTTATAAGACAAAAAAACACACACAAATTCACAGTTTTCAAAGAATTCTATAAATTCAATTTTTCCTAGTACTTTTTATTAAAAATTCCCTGACGTTACGTTACGTTACAAAAGCGAATAAACCATTTAGAGTAAATTATTTGAAGGAACATACATACAAATGAGATAATTCATGCGTAGCTGTGTGAATACCGTAAAAAAAATCAGAATCATGTACAATTATAATTACAGATAACAAGTTGATCATTTCATGATCATTTAGCTTCCTCAATACAATATATACCTATTGTATAATTTTTTATTTTAGAATAATTATTTAAAAGTGTTAAGATACACATGCTAGTGTTCAGTCGGGTTCAGTCCCTACTATAGAACGCTGGTATTTTTCAGATAATTAGAATTGTTAAATTTGGAAGAAATAAATTTTTATTCTCGTTTTTACCAATTTTGATTGTCTGAACGCGTTCGGGTGAGGGTGCTACTACTAAAAAATTAAAATAAAATTCTCTATTCTTCAGGATTGCGTAGGGTTCAATCCCTAGTAGAACTCTGGTAATTTTCAGGTGATTAGATAAATTAATCTTCGATGAAATAAATTTTTATTTTCGTTTTTACCAAATTTTCATTGTCTGATGGCATTAGGGTGAGGGTGCTACTACTAAAAAATGGAAATAAAATTCTTTATTCTTTAGGATTGCGTAGGGTTCAGTCCCTACTAGAACTCTGGTAATTTTCAGATGATAAGAATTGATAAATTTGGAAGAAATAAATTTTTATTTTCGTTTTTACCAACTTTAATTGTCTGATGGCGTACGGGTGAACCTGCTAGTACTAAAAAATTGAAATAATATTCTCTATTCTTCAAAATTGTGTAGGGTTCCGTCCCTACTAGAACACTGGTAATTTTCAGATGATTACATTAAATAAATTTGGAAGAAATAAAAATAAATTTGGAAGAAATAAATTTTTATTTTTGTTTTTACCAAATTTTGATTGTCTGATGGCGTTCGGGTGATGGTGCTACTACTAAAAAATGGAAATAAAATTCTCTATTCTTTAGAATTGTGTAGGGTTCAGTCCCTACTAGAACACTGGTAATTTTCAGATGATTAGATTAAATAAATTTGGAAGAAATAAAAATAAATTTGGAAGAAATAAATTTTTATTTTTGTTTTTACCAAATTGTGATTGTCTGATGGCGTTCGGTTGAACCTGCTACTACTAAAAAATTGAAATAATATTCTCTATTCTTCAGGATTGTGTAGGGTTCAGTCCCTACTAGAACTCTGGTAATTTTCAGATGATTAGATTAAATAAATTTGGATAAAATAAATTTTTATTCTCGTTTTTACCAAATTTTGATTGTCTGATGGCGTTCGGGTGAGGGTGCTACTACTAAAAAATTGAAATAATATTCTCTATTCTTCAGAATTGTGTAGGGTTCAGTCCCTACTAGAACACTGGTAATTTTCAGATGATTAGATTAAATAAATTTGGAAGAAATAAATTTTTATTTTCGTTTTTACCAAATTTTGATTGTCTGATGGCGTTCGGGTGAGGGTGCTACTACTAAAAAATGGAAATAAAATTCTCTATTCTTCAGGATTGTGTAGGGTTCAGTCCCTACTAGAACTCTGGTAATTTTCAGATGATTAGATTAAATAAATTTGGATAAAATAAATTTTTATTCTCGTTTTTACCAAATTTTGATTGTCCGATGGCGTTCGGGTGAGGGTGCTACTACTAAAAAATTCAAATAAAGTTCTCTATTCTTCAAGATTGTGTAGGGTTCAGTCCCTACTAGAACTCTGGTAATTTTCAGATGATTAGATTAAATAAATTTGGATAAAATAAATTTTTATTTTCGTTTTTACCAAATTTTGATTGTCTGATGGCGTTCGGGTGATGGTGCTACTACTAAAAAATGGAAATAAAATTCTCTATTCTTCAGGATTGTGTAGGGTTCAGTCCCTACTAGAACTCTGGTAATTTTCAGATGATTAGATTAAATAAATTTGGATAAAATAAATTTTTATTTTCGTTTTTACCAAATTTTGATTGTCTGATGGCGTACGGGTGAACCTGCTACTACTTAAAAATTGAAATAATATTCTCTATTCTTCAGGATTGTGTAGGGTTCAGTCCCTACTAGAACT